TATCGGTAAATGTTTATTACCTAACCAAAAGCAGAATAAAACTTGATATCACAGTCAGCGCTACACATCTGCACAGTTAACAATCCAATGAAAACAAAGACAAAATGATCACAGGGCGGATGCTTTTAAATTCCCTGCAAAATCATGTGTTGTTGACCAGCACTGTTTGTGTGTCGTGCATTTCTGACAGCAGTTTCTATGTTTTCCCTTTGGAGAATTTGAATCTTATCTCTGAAATTAAAATAAAATCTCTGAATATTTATATCAGGCTCAATTGTTAAAGAGGATAAAACAGCTTTATGTCTGAAACCCATCTGCTATGCCGCCTCTCTAGAAAAATACAGAGGTCTCCTCTTCGGAAGCTATGAGCTGCAAAAGTGACTTCCTGCTGGTTGGCTGCTGGAGATGATAGCCTGACTATTACTACTGTTACTCTGCAAATCCCTTTATGTTAATTTTCTTTTTTTAGTGTTGATAGCAATTTTTAACTGCAAACCATCTCTGCTTCTGCATGGTCTTTAAAAGTCCTACATATTTGATATTTCAAAAAGCCTTCAAGAGTTTATAAAATCTCCACATTAGGTTTGAAATTACATTTAATTATATCTTTACATCTTATTTATTTCTACAAATTAGTTTTTTGTTTAGAAATGTATATTTAGTTTATTTTTTTGTAGCTCTAAGTAATTTCCGGATGATTATATGTTGTGAAAAAAACTACAAAATTTGATAATTGTCTTCCCTAATTAAAACAAACAAAAAAATTGCTCCTGAAACGCCATACTAATGCCTAAGGGAATTAAACCCTCCGTTTTATTATCAGATTATTTGATGTAAAATGTTTGTTATATTACTGTTAAAGTTAAATTACCTGTAAAGTTTTTGATAACTCGTGCAGGTCATAAATTTAAATTCAGTGAGTAGAAAAAGCTTTCAAAAAGTCATTAGATTTTATCAGATGTGAAATCAATGTTTCATTTGTCTATGGATCAAATGAAAACAAAAATAGAAAACATTATAAACTTAATAATTAATATTTTGTATTTATTTATTGTTTAGTGGAAGTAGTTGTTATCTTTCTGTTTGTTTATTTTCGTTTAGAATTTGTGTAAACATTTTAACACTGGGATTTTCTTCAATGTTAGGCTGAGACTAACTCACCAGTGAGTTTTCCTGTGCATCAGCTCAAGTTGATTAGAATGATCTAGAACCTTATTAACAATTACATTCATCATTTGATCAGTATTGAATTTCTTCTTGTTTCCTCAGGTGAGATTTCAGCATGAGATATACCCGCAGCCCCCCCCAGCATCCCGTCCAGCGGTGGACGAGCCGTTGTCCCGGCAGGTGTTTGTTGTGCAGGACTTGGAGATTAGGGACAGACTTGCTACCTCACAGATGAACAAGTTCCTGTACTTGTACTCCAGCAAAGAAATGCCCCGAAAAGCCCATTCAAACATGGTAAGGCGACCAACTGTAAATTCAATACGTTTATGAATCTGGAACTTCATCTATAGTTTTTGTCCCTAGTTGACAGTTAAGGCATTGCATACGTGTCCCGAGTCGGGCCAGGCTCCTCCGGAGTGTTCCCTACGTGTTTCCCTAATGCCTCTGCGCCTCAATATCGATCAGGTAACCAAGATGAAAATAAGTTGTGTTTTAATGTTAGCAGTTGTAACTCAGATCTTATGTAATGACGTATTCTTTTTGTTTTCCTTCTAGGATGCACTATTCTTCATGAAGGACTTCTTTAGTAGTCTTGCCAATGAAGTTGAGTTTTTCTCCCCACCTGCTCAAGAAAGTAAGACTAATAACCTAATGTGCGTTATTCTGCATTTTTACATGATTAAACAGCTACTGTTTATTATCCACGTGGTGCAGCTGTTTCTGCTCCGACAAAGAAAGCAGCTGCCCCAGAGATCTCCTGCAGCTTCTCCAAACAGACTGCTGGGAGCCAGGATCCAGCCCCGATCATTTTAGTCCCTGCTCAGAGGCAGATCACCATCAGTAGCTTCTCCACATCCGGCAGGGAGGAAGTGAATGACAGCGAACCTTCTCCTTCTTCTTTTTCGGATCAGCCGATCTTCTTTAGGTCAGCGATATGAACAAAACACTTGAATCCATATTTAACTGTGACATGACTATGTTTAATCCCCTTTTCTGATATCAGGGAGTTTCGATTCACCTGTGAGGTTCCAATTCGTCTGGATTACCATGGGAAACATGTATCAATGGATCAGGTATATTTTCTGAAACAAACTTTATTTTATAAGTTGTTGTTTTTTTTTATCAATAACTGGTAATGTTTTGTCTCAGGGAACATTTGCAGGAATCGTCTTTGGGCTGACGCAGCTGAATTGTTCAGAGCTGAAACTAAGGCAGCTGTGTTACAGACAAGGGTTTGTTACTTGACTAGGACACGAACATCCACTGCTGCATGTGTTGCCTTCCTTAAAAACTAAACTTATATTTCCTTGTTTTTCAGATTACTTGGAGTGGATAAGCTGTTTTCTTATGCAATAAATGAGTGGCTAAATGACATCAAGACCAATCAGCTTCAAGGGATACTAAGTGGTGTGGCGCCTATTCACACTCTTGTGAAACTGGGTGAGCATACAGTAACATCTGGATTCATTGTGCTGCTCATAGAGCTTCTCCGATCTCTGTGATCTTGGCACATAATTCTTTGGTTTTGTGATGTTAACTTTGTGGCTGTAGATTTCTATTTATGTTAATAGACTCTTAAGAAAGCAATTTTTTTCTCCTCAGTTCACGGCCTCAGGGACCTGGTATGGCTGCCCATTGAGCAGTACAGAAAGGATGGTCGGATAGTCCGGGGATTTCAGCGTGGCACTGCCTCCTTTGGGACCTCCACTGCCATGGCTGCTTTGGAGCTCACTAACAGGATGGTGCGGACCATTCAGGTAAACACTCTCCCATTTAATGCCCCTTAATGATTACGTTATGTTTCAGTTCATGCTATTCATAGTGGTTGACTTGCTGCATTCAATCCTCCTGGAGTCGCTTGTACCGTTTTGTTGAATTGGCAGCAATCCCCTCATGCATGTAGCAACAGTAGAAAGGAAAGCTCTCTTTTAACAGAATTATTAAGGCATTTATAAGTACTTGAAAACAATTAAATATTCCTTTTCTGCAGACGTGCTCTGTCTGTTTTTTTCTGCAATTATTATTCTATTTCTGCTATTCAGATGTCAAATATTCAGCTCTTTCAGAAGCCTTTTGCTAAAGTTAATGTTTTTCTGGAGAAATAAAAAGCAGCCTTTCTAATCTTTCAAATACCAGATTATCTTTGAAAGCTAAACTATGATCCCTCACTTTTAACTACAAACTCCATTCTTTAAACAGGCTTTAAACAGGTCACAGGACATTAGGCTTTTATTACATGCTCCTGCTTATTTTTATTTTGTGCAAATTCTCCCTTTCCTCCACCTAAAAGCACTGATATTGACCACTTTAGTCTTCAGCCCACTTCCTAGTTGTAGATTTTCCTCTATTACCTGTTGTGCCTTGTTGTAGTTTGAGTACAGGCGTCAGAATCAAGAGCAGCAAATCTATGTCTTGACTGAGCCAAATTTAGGAGTCAGTTCAGGAATAGAGTCAATCAATACACACCTGCTGCTGATGCCATGGTTACTTTAAGAGCAAGAGGCATAAGGGCGACACTCCCTTAAATAGTTTAGAAAAATTTTATTTAGTCTCTCCAAGCACTGGTAGGATATGTTAATCATCTGTTGAGTTAATATTTTTCAACCGGTTTAGTTTTCTCTATTGCCTATTATGTCTTTTTATGCAGAGAGGCACTTGTGTTAAGGGCCTCCCTGTATTTAAAGAGGGCGCAACAAAACGAGTTGCTCTGTGAGGCATCTCAGAACAGAGTGAAAAGAGGGGAGGGGCCTGTGGAGCAACACTAATGAGACCAAACCATTGCAATTTCACTTTACATGGACCAAGACCTAAAGATTTAAATGTGAAAAGGAGACATTTAAAAGAGAATATGTACCCTTTAAGATTACATCATAAATTTGTTTGTACTTCAAATCAAACCAATAAAACACAAGATTTTTTGTTTTTGAGGGATTTATTTGTTCATTTTTCAACCATTTTAAACTTTAGTTTTAGCTGTGAATTGGATTTCTACGTTTCACCTTTTCTGAATCTGTCCACGAGATCAGGATAAGCTTCCTCTGAGGTTTTCTGCTTCACTTCAGCTTCTAAGGCACGGATATTTAAACAAAACTAAGTTTTACATTAGATTCTTTAACTTACACATCTGGATTATTTGCATTACTTTTATGATTCAGTGCAGTAACATAAACATATATACAAAGTAAAAGGTCCTTCTAATGATGTACAAAAAAGGGTAGTTTTAGAAGGACCTTTTACTTTTCATATATGTTTATGTTACTGCATAGAATCATAGAAGTAATGCAAAGAATCCAGATGTGTAAGTTAAAGAATCTAATGTAAAAGTAGTGATATTGATGCCTCCTATTTACAAATATATTACTCTGCCATCTCTGACTTGTCAAATCGTTAAAATACTTGATGCTGTTGAGGAGAAATGTAGCTGCGTCTTACTGGAAATGTAAATTTTCAAAGATTTTGAATTTTCTCTTTAGGCAGCGGCTGAGACGGCCTATGACATGGTGTCCCCAGTAGCAGACGAGAGAGACATGAAGAGGGTGAAACGGCACTCCCATTATGGCCTGGCTCATCAGCCTGTTGACCTGAGAGAAGGTGTAGCCAATGCTTATACTGTGGTGAAAGAGGTAAGCAAACAACGCAGCTTACTATTCCTCTTTGCACCATTGAAAAAGGTTTCTATTTTAGTATCTAAATAAATGCTTTAGAAATTTTGTCTGTCCAAAAATGCATTAATATTTACTTTTGGTAATACCAAAGGATTCTGCAAGAAAAACATGCAGAATATTTATCTTCAAAAAACCTTGGGAAAAAAAGCATTATTTTGGTGGAATTTGACTGGTTTCTTATCTCACTACAACTTCTAAGGCAGTAATTTTGATGGTTCTGAGATTTTGAAGTGAAAGAACTTTATTTACAATAATCTTATGTTGGTCATCTGACTTTTGCTGTTTCTATATTTACTTCATTTACATGTTGTTTTTTTTAAATAAAACGTAAAACCTAAAAAAAATATTATGGTTAATTTTACCTCGATCTCACACAGCGTCAACATAATTTTGACGGCTCTATCCGTTGCATTGTAAATTCTTTCCGTGGTTGAAGAACTCTTTGGCTAATATGGAGAAATGGCTTTAAGAAGAAATGTAACAGTGCAACAGGGTTTAGAAATGCATCAAAATATCGATGACATGTGCTCCAGAGAGCCGCAGGTTACCAATTCCTCCGCCACAGGAGAGCCAGCTTTGGTGAGTCAAAGAAAACAGCACCAGGTGCGTCAGTGCTGCACAAAAAACTGCTCATATGATGTTTGTTATAAATGTGAAAAGGTGGGGTGCAGGAAATGTGCAGGGGGAATCAATCAATTTCTGCAAATAAAATTGTAATTTCAAACTTTGAACCTATGTAATAAAACTTTTGTATTTTTTTTTACTGATTTATTTTTAAAACAAATTTAGACTACAACAATATCATATAATAAAGCCTTTAAAAATATATTTATATTAGACTTGTTTTAACCTCTACATATCCACAATGGGTTTATATGGCACACTAAAAGCTCTTCAGTTAATGACATCGTCACTACTCTTGCATCCCGTCGAACTGACTGCCAGTGGGAGTTCTGGTAGAATCAGAATTCTGGGAGTCCTAGTGTTAAAATATTCTCCAATGGCATTGCACAACATAAAGCTTATTCCAGAAGCTTTGTTTTACTGCTCCTGGCCCATGAAACAATTGAAATATTTTATCTTAGAAATAACAATAATAAACATTAGCTTTAAAATCCAGTGAGATGGAAAAAACATGAGCCCTGTTAGGTACTGTAATGGGCCACCATTATTTACCAGTAGTGAAAAACCTAATTTGCATTATTTTATGTGTACTGAAACATGTTTGCATTTTTAGACCATCTCCTTTTGCTTGTTTTTTTTTTTACCTGTTTGTTTCTGATTGAGAAACTGTGATTTTACTTGTAATCTGTAATGTTGGTTAACGCTATTATTGTTGTGTGTTTAGTGTATGATCATTTCTTTCTGATAATTTTCATTAGTTCTATATTTTTTTGTTCTTTTAGTTTGTATTAAAACATATGCTATTAAAGAAATAAAAAAGGACTTGTCTGAAAATAATTGCAATGTAAAACTTGTTATAATTATTGAAATAATTCCACTCGGCATTAAGGTAAAGTCATCCTGCTTTAAATCTCGTGTTTGGGATCACCGTCTCTTTAAAACACCCTGTTTTATACTAGTTTTATTCTTCTAGATGTTGATTTAAGGTTAAGAAATTGAGACCCTTGCTCAATACTTTTTCTTCCTTCTTCCTTTACCAAACATAATTTAGAATCAGATCCATAATTCCTGTGTGTAAAGCTCTGACCAGATCTGTCTTTCCGCCCACAGGGCATCACAGATACTGCTCTGACCCTTTACGACACTGCGACACGGGAGCACGAGCAGCGTGGGATGACGGGAGCGGTCGGCGGTGTCCTTCGCCAGCTGCCACCAGCCGTAGTCAAGCCGCTCATCATGGCCACCGAAGCCACGTCTAACGTCTTGGGTGGAATGAGGAACCAGATTCATCCGGACGCGCGTCAGGAGGAGTCGCAGAAATGGAGGCACGAGGAGGAGTGATTCTTAACGCTTTGAAAGCATAACCGTGCAGAAGCTGCAGGCAGGACCTTGTTTTGTTTTTGAAGAGAGGCTGACAGTGACTTCTGGTGTAAATAAAAGAGTCTCATCCTGTGGCAGTGTGTCCTAATGCTGTCCAGCTGACGGTTCCCTCACAGTGCCTTCATGGTCATCAGCAGCGTCAACTGTTTTGCTTAATAAATGTATATATCTATTATAATGTGGAGGCCACATATCATTCTGATCTGATTTAAGGTTAAAAGCAGAATCGGGACAGACAGGTCATCTCATTAGCTTCCTTTTCAAGCATCTCTGTTTACAGATAGTGTTCTTATCCTAATCGGTGTCAATAAACACTAGAGTAAGATGTTTAATTTAATAAATGTACTATATATTGCCCTTGTTAATTACTGTAAATATTCCGCATTTGTAACCTCTCATGCAAATAGAAGAAAACAAGAACAGGAACTGAACGTGTCAAAGGTGTGTAAAGTTATTTAATAAAGCACTTTTGAATGACTTGAAGGGTTACATGTCCAAATAAACGAAGAAGGGGAAGGTAACCTAATGTGTTGTACAGCTGCACAGATTTACTTTCATCTTCAATGTGGGCTATTTTCACAAAAGCTGCTATTCAGAAAGTCACTTTTAAATATTTGGTTTGTGTTTTTTTTAGTTTTTTTTTTTAGTTGCAGCTTTTAAAACATTACATCTACATATCTAGTGTCTTATGTCAGCTGTTTTTATTTAAGGTAATGAGTATGGATGTTTGTTGTGATCGTTTGTGCTCCATGATTTGGATTTGCATATTTTCAATGTTTATGTGGAAAGAATGTTTTTTTTTTTTTTTTTTTGGGCATATGTGTAATGTTTATTAATTGTATTAAATAGGTGAAAGGTCAATAAAAACGGTTCAGATCATGATAGTCTGGTGTATTTTGTACACATTTTGTAAAAAAAAAAAAAAAAACCAAGCCAAGTTCTAGCAGAGGTTAATTTATCTCCCTTTTAGGTTACTTTGCACATAAGGAAGGAAAAGTAATGAGATGTATTTTTCACAGGCTCAAAATGCATTGTATAAATAATTACCCTCTTCCCCCAAATGTGACTAAAACCATGCTATTAACTTTGGTTAAGAGATTTAGTTGCATGTTTGTTCTGAAACTGGAGTGTTGGCTGCTGGCCTAGTCTCATCTGACAGCAGTTGTGTCAGATCCATCACTGATTGAGGTTTCATGTCCTTTTCATAAAAGATTCAGTATGGAGAATTTATCTTAACTCCATTTTAAATTCATTTTAAAAAGTTTAATCGTAGGAACCTTCACCTCAGGTCTCAACTAGGTATGTAGAGTGTTGTACAGCCTGTTAAACATCTGCACCACTGCCCCTCTGGAGTCCATTTTGACTCTTTCTCTAATTAACACCATATTCACTGAGATAAATATGTTGCTCGGGAGCTAGTAAGTAATCAAAATAATCAAAATAAAATCATCATCTATAAATCTGCCTTTATAAAGCTGGAGCTCCTCTGAGTAACTCCCTTATAATCTCCTTTAAACTTTAGGAATTGGGAATAAAATACTGAAAAAAATATAGTCAGACTTTATTTTCCTCTGTTTTCATCATTGATGACACGTGAGCTGTTTTGATGAGCTCTGACAGCAGATACTGTTCTCTACATCCAGTCTGTTTCTCTGCTTGGTTTTGATGTGTCTCAGCTGAAGGTGAACTCAAACATGTAAGAAAAACTAACTTTTTGGTCTTAAAAGCTTGTTTTATTTTTCAGGAAGGTTTTCACAAAGCAGATCCCAGATCCCAGCCCTATTTTATTTTTGTACCTGAGAAATAAAATATTTTCATGCACCATTTGCGTTGCACTTGCGGTACACTAGGTACTACGCCTACTCCTAGTTGGGAATCAATGGCATAAAGTACTTTTCTTTAGAAAAAAAATATTTTAATCTGTATTTTGAGGCAGTACTTGATTTAAAACCCTCAAAATATAACTGGGAACTTATTTTAGCCTTTAATGATCTAAAGTATTAGTAAAAACTAATACTGATTTTATGTGTAATGTTTGTTATTCAATTATATTTTAGGATTTTGGTTCATATTAATTTTAAGTAGTATTCTTCTTCCTTGTAAATATTTATAGGATACACGAGTTTCTGGTCTATATATATATATATATATATATATATATATATATATATATATATATATATATATATATATATATATATATATATATTGAATGACACGTTTAAAATGCAGGCCTTAACATACTTATACTTTTTAGTATAAAGAAAGTTAATTTGAAAATTTTATTTTCTGCTTTCCTACCAAGTTAATAAATAAAACCATTTTTCATCCGCTGCAGCTTAGAAATATTTTTTTAGTTCGCTGCTTTCTCCAGAGATGATGATGATGATGAAGAAGCCTCCTCTCTCCTTCGGCTCTTAACTTCGCAGTTTTCCGTCAAAGCTCGGAAAGCCGGAAGTCACAGGAATCTGCGTCCGTTTCTTTTCCCCGAAAAGCAGAAGCACAGCCGCGGGGACACTTGTCACAAGATCGGGAGGACATGGAAGCACTTTATTAACGGTCTGAGCTCATTGGACGACATTAAATCGGACTGTCAGGTAAGGAAACACGAGCTTCACTTTATCTGCTCTCTGTTGAGCTAACGGCTAGCCAGCTGTCTGCTAAAGGGAAGCTGGGGAAAGCAAACAACCAAAGGAAAGCAGAATCTAGACGCAGAAAGATGATGTTTAACTGCGGTTAACAGATTTATTTCAGTTTCCTTTATTTCCACCCCGTTTAAAGAGTGTGTCTCTCTCTCCCTCCCTGTGCGGGCTCAGGGGGCGGGCTCTCCTCTCTTCCAGCCCTGCAGTCAGAGGTGTTTGTCTTGTCATGACAGCCATGGAGAGATTAGAAGCTACATCTGAGCTCCAGTCTCGGTTGTCAGCCTTGTCCTTTTCATCCTTCCCCGGTGTAACCTCCAAGCAGTGCGACAGCACACCCCCGGGCAGGTAACCTGTTGCTCTGAGCTCCTGCAGTGGTTTCACCGCTTTCTGTTGGTTTTTTTCTTCCTTTTGGTTATTATGAATCTCTTTACATCAGGCTGGAGAGTACAAACCTGTCGGAGAGCACCCAGTCCAGCATTCAACCCACCATGGATGAAGCCAAGCAGCTTTCAAAGGTTTGCTGCAAAGCTGTCAGGAAGTAAGGAAAACCTGGAAGTAGGTTGTTGTTTATTTTCTATAATGTGTCATATGCGTGTTCCCTTTTAGGGTGATGAGGATGCTCCTACTGAGGGGGCCCTGGGGGAAGGATGCAAGGAGAACATCGATGCTGGGAGCAGTCCGCTCGCTGCTGAAATTAAAGGTGAGAACCTGCTTTGTGTGCTCACACAGCAGGTGACTCTTGTTTATTAGAGCACTAATATAGATTTAGCAAAGCTTTAATCCACTAATAGACCTATGCGTTCAGAAGATGACAGGGCTGCATACTGTATCCCCATTGAATTGTTGTTATTGCACATTAGAAATACAGTAGAGGCCTACTTGAAATGCAGAAACTAGAGGTATAATATATTGATACGGCACCCAAAATGCTGGCAGTTTGAGTTCACGTTACAGTGTGAGAGGAACAAAAGTTTTAACTTTGTTTTAAACGGAAAATAAAACCCGTACGCAGTTCCTCTGAGATTTGTTAAAATTCCCAAATCCAGTATGTGCCACAACACGAAGGTTGAAAGCTGAAAGGAATAAAGCTCACATAATTTGCTGTAATTCTTTCAGCCTTTCTGGTATCTGCTGTAAGTCCTGCTCTCTTTGCCTCCTGAAAAACCTCAGACGTTACTCCATTTTATACCAACTTACTGAGAATAAAGTAAAAATCTATTGTAAATCTTCCAGGAATAACCCCTAACAGAAGCATTAAATAATACCTACTAACCCATTTGTTTTAACAAACAAACAAACAAAAATCTGCTTTTAAGCAGAGCTGTCACTCTTTCCTTAAACTGATGTTCTGTGCTTTTCTTTCCCACCCAGAGGCAGCCCAGATGCCACCCCTGCCGCCCCCTACGACTTGGACATCTGCTGCAGTGAAGGAGCTGAAGGCGAAGCTCCGATCTGAGAAGGACAGTGTGGTGACAGTGTATCGAGGAGACATCATGACGGTCCACGTCCCTACTGTCCCCGAGGCCAAGAAAGTGTGCTGGGAGTTTGCCACAGATGGCTACGACATTGGCTTTGGCATATATTTTGACTGGACCCCTGTGACCAGCAGGTCCATCACCGTGCACATCAGCGAGTCGAGCGATGACGAAGAAGAAGAGGAAGAGCTGGAAGGTCAGCTTGAGTTAAGGATCTAGATTTGTGTGTTTATGATGCAGAACATAAAACCATGGCAGGTAATGTTTGAAGCATTTTAAAAATAGAGGCACAGAGGAATAAAAAACAAAAAAAAAAAACTCATGTTTTAATGAGTTCTACTGAATTCAGCACATATGGGTCAAAATGAATTACTTCACCTGCATCATTTCCAACATGAACAATCATACATTTATTTTTACCTGTGTGATAGTATGGGAGATAAAAATGTGACTCTATGCAGCCTTGCTAAGTTCTGCTGCATCTTCTGCAATTGATAAAATCGGTCTGAAAAAAAAAAAAAAGAACAAAATAAAGTGTAATTCATTATTTATAAGGGTTAGCTCACGTTTTCTTAGATTTGATTGTCTAGTTTCAAGTTGTGCAGAGACTATCTGCCCCAGCACAACCGCTCAGCTATTTTGTTTTGAAGGAAAAAGCGACTCTCATCAGCTTATATCTGCCTAAAATGACCAGTTAACCACTGTAAATCAGTTGTTCGGTGACTTAATGTGCGTCATATAAGAAAACAAAAAGAACTACAGCTTCCAAATCAAAGTTGAATTCCTTTTACAAATTTTCCATTTACACTAGTGTTGCACTGATGCCATTTTTTGGCCCAGATACCCAATATCTGGCTGTGCAGTATTGGCCGATACCATTTGTTTGAAGTTGATGTGTGTATATATATATGAAGAACTGCATACTACTTGGATGTAAAATAATCACCATCATGGCTTTGTCAAGCTGCTGCCTACCTTTGTGAAGCAGGAAGTAGATTAATACAAAGTAAATCCAGTAGAACATTTTATTGCCTACCTGGAATGGGTGACAATAGTTAAATAAACTTTAGGCTCTCAAAATGGTATCGGTGCACATTTGTTGGTACTCGCCTATGCCACCATTTTAGTGCTGGATCAGGGCCCCAGCCGATACTGGTATCGGTGCAACACTAATTTACACCACTGATCAACTGATGCCATCGTTTTAATATTTTTAAAAAAATGTTGCACTTGCATGATTCCCTAATATCACACAGCTCTAATCCAACCGTTTCCTACAGAAAAATACCACGTTCCCTTTTAACGTGTTCCACAACACGTTGAAAATTTGTCTTAGAAGTTTGAAAAACACAAATTTGCTGTTTTTTTGTAAACTATGTTGGTTGATCAAAATTCCTTTTGCATATTTTCTGGATAAAAGTCTAAGGCAGCAACTAACGAATATTTTGCAAATCAATTAATCTGTCTATAATTTTCTTCAATCAGTCGTTTGATAATTGAATAGCAAAAGCTTCCTTAAAAAAGGCTTTTAGGAAAATTAAACCAACTGAAAATAAAGCTTTTCCACATGAGTTCTGGATAGAGCATATTGACAGATGAAATATATTTTTATCTTAAATGCAAAATGTTTGCATTTTTATTTATTTTTTACAATTTTAGTATAATTACTGCTCTAAGTGGGTTGCTCTGTCAGCTAATGCTATGTTTTAAAGCCTCTGCACTCCAGCTAACGATTAATCGATTTCTAAATTAGTTGACGATCATTTCAATAATCCATTAATCACGATTAACTGTTTCAGCCCTATAACAGTCACTGGTTCTGCCAGGCTGTGGGAGGTTCCCAATTAGATTCTTTTTTGTTTTAGAATTACCTCAGTTAAGATAATAAGTGATGCTAACACAATAGATTTATTTATTTTTTTTATGTTGGGAAGGAAAAACGGTGAAGATAATGATAAAAAAAACTATCACCCATGCAGATGCTTTCAAATAGCCGACTGCTTCTTCTGGGACGCAGCATGCTAAGTTTTTGATTTATGCAATGTCTATCTCAGGGCCTCTCAGCAACGATGATGTGGAGAAAGGCTCCAAAAGCCACACCAACTCCAACCTGACCGAAATCCTGCCTGTGTACCGTCAGGACAGCCATTTGTCCGTCCAAGGCGGCAGCCACGACTTCCAAGGCGAAGGCACTTACCTCCTAAAGTTTGACAACTCCTACTCCCTCTGGAGGAACAAAACTCTCTACTACAGGGTGTACTACAGTGCCTGAGACACCTGCTTTGTTGCTTACGAATGTATAACCTACAGAAGAATATAACCCTTGAGAACAATGAACTATTTTTGGGATTTCCAACATGGTAAATATCAAATAATTTAAGGAATACATGCAGGCGCATCTATTTTATATTCCCTTGTCCAGTTAAATGGGTTTCGGTGCATCATCCCTGTCAGTGTCCTGTTGGAGTATAATCAGAAAAGCCTTGCGTATGTCATGTGCCATATGTGTGCACTGTGCTGTTTGGTCAAGTGCCCGTCATAAACTATATATTGTCTACCTGTTACATTTCTATGGTAGCAGCGATCAGGGAGAACCTGCACAGAGGGTGTTACTCCGCACCATGTCCTTAATCAGCGGTGCCCCGAAGAAATTCTTTTTCACCCATCCATCCGTCCCTGTGCACCTTTTTTGCTCTGTTGCATCAATGTTTGCTGTGATAATCATTCAGCTTTGTCGTGTAACTTATTTTTATTTTATTGTTTAATGTAAAAATGCAGGACGTGATCTACATTCCCTCTACTGGTGCAGCTGTTGTGTCGAAGAGATTTAAGTTGAACATACTAAAGTGACAGTTTTTATGACGCATATAAAAGCCCTTATCGAATAACGCTCTAGATTCAATATTTACCTTTGCTTTGCCAGCGTTTTAATTAGCTGTTTTTAAAGTAGAGGTCAGTTGCAGTGTTTCGCCCAAATGTGTTTTTCTGAGTGAAGATCACTGTTCTTTTTTCTTTTTTTTAAATCTCTGTGTTTGACCATCCTTTTCACGCTCAGTCATGCGTATATTTCCAAAGATGTCGCAGATCTGGCTGCTAATGTCGTATGCAATGTAAAGCAACCGTTTTCAAGCTGTTTGCTGTCTCATACCTTCACTTTAAACTGTACTGTTCGTTCCCTGAAATTTATATATTCCACAATAAAGAGATTATCTATTTTTTGTGTCATTTAATTGTGCGGAAGGGGAGAAAGGTATAAAAGAAGCTGTAGATTGCAAAATGATTGTCATGTAAATATTTCTCGTTTAGCTTGCTGTCATGTCATAACAGTCTCACAGCAGAGCCAGGATTAGCAGGTTCCTCAGTAGGTTCCCTTGTGTTTCTATTAAATTGCAGCATTAGGGGATTGATGTAATTGTTACAGCGGTGCTGATGAAACCTGGTTTTATTTTGAGAGCTCCCAGAAGGCCAGTCACAATAAGTCAGAGTACCAAAGTATTAACTGCTTTCTATGATGGCTCTTTGTTTCTAAAAAGCAAAAAGACACATTTGTTTGAAGTTTCTTTTGTGTGGTAAAACTACTTTGTTAAATACTTGAAACAATGATGACTTTATAGCCCAATGGGAGACAGAGTGGTGCTGCATTATGAAAAGCTTTGTGTTTACACAGTTGAAAGCAATAATAAAGAAAAACACCATCTTTATCTTTGAGCGACGGCGGCTCGGTAAGTGGGGATCGTCCTGTAACTGGCAGGGTACCAGATCAAGCCATCTGTCTATTGTTTTGGCCTTGGGTTAGACACTTTACCCTGCTGTTGGTGGTCAAAAGGTTCAGTAGCACTGATTTACACACATCGCTGTAATTGTTGGTAGCCCCCATTTAATGAAGCACAATGGCCACATAAATAACTTGAATCTGACTAAAATAATAAAAAATCTATGAAAAATAAACAAATGAAAGATGGAAATTGCTTTTCAACCTGCTTCAACAGAATGATTTAAAAAAAAAAAAATTAAACTCATCAAACAGGCCTGGACAAAAAAAATGCAATCTCCTCTACTCTTCACCTGAGCCTGGCACACCTGGTGGAGAATAACACCCACATGCGGACCCAGTATCTGGTCTTCAGCTCAGCTTTCAACACCATCATCCCACAGCATCAGATAGGAAAACTGGAACAGCTGGGCTTCAATACACCCCTAATAGACTTTCTAATAGACTTGCCGAGGTTGAGAAGACCCCACCTGCCCCCACCCATCCTCCCGACCTTCTACAGAAGCACCATAGAGAGCGTTCTGATCAGCTGTCTCACTATATGGTGTGGGGGCTGCAGCGCCGCAGACTGGAGGAAAGTGAGAAGAGTTCAGAGAACTGCAGAAAGGATCATCAGGGCTTGTCTTCTGTCCAAAAACAAAAACCATTACATTCCAGCACCGTGTGTCCTGAGCCCGTAACATTATAAATGATCCCTCACACCCCCACCATGGACTGTTCTCCCTGCTGCCCTCTGAGAAGAGGCTTTGCAGCATTCAATGCATGTCCATCAGATTCTGCAACAGTTGCTTCCCCACTGCTGTCAGACTGCTGAACTGTTAAAAAAATAAAAAAACAACAACCTCAAAGTCATGTCGCAAACTCTGCATCACACTGACAACACCAAACCAAAAATACTGCACATTTGCACAATGTATATTTAAGGCTCTGAACTTCCATATCAATGCATTTTTTGCACCATGCTTTTTCTCCCACACTGTTTACATTTAATCACTGCTGCACTTTATGGAATGGAAATGTTTATTTACTGTCTTAAAAGCTGTACTAAACGAAATGTAGTTTTGTATACACTCTGTGTGTATAAAATGACAAAAGTTGTCTAAGTTGTTACTGGGAGGTGCTAACTTGCTTAGCTCCAGTGCTCCCTTGTTTATCCTGCTGTGCAGTACCATAAATACATTGTTATATATATGAAATTGTTTTATATATATGAAATATATATATATGAAATGCAAAAACAAAGCATGAAACACAAAACTAAAGAATATTTCAGTAGGATGCCCTAATCTCTTAGAAAACCTTTGGATGCAACCAAAATGAGCTACTGTAAATTTAAAAAAAATTTATATAACCCTGAGTGCAGTAGGTTAACGATCCAAAGATTTAAGTTAGACTGATGATGCACCATGACTAAAAACAGACTGTTCATTCTGAATAAAACCCTTCTCAGCTATTTCTTGTAATAATCTCTGATGCTTTCTGGAAACACTTAATGGAAATTATTGCCCCTGACTTTCCATAAGTATAGTTACTCATCTTTGGGGATCTTCCTTTTTGTCAGAGGGCCAAGTTATTTTGGGAATATTTTATTTCTAGAAAAGCAGAACTCCAAGGAATACATTTGTGTTTAAATCAGTTAACTCCTGGGTAAAATGTTAAATCTAGCTTTAAACCAGCAAGTGACTGAAATTAAGCTGTTGGGGTTACTTTAGATCTTCACATATTAATAGTAATGTGATAAAAAATGAGCAGAAGTGTTACAATGCCAATTTTATGTCAACTAAAACAAAGGAAGTAGTAATTCTTTATTCTCAGGTCGCTTAGACTGCTGCTAAATTGTGTGGCCAAATGCTGCTCATAAGTACTTCAGCAGACCGTAGATAACTCAGAATCGGGCAGCAAGATCTGGGATGAACGTTTTGAACCAGTGTTGCATCAGAGACTCACATGGATTAAAGTCAAAGACAGACTGGTTTGTTATTCTCTGGTGTCTTTGCAAAAAAAATCTAGACTTCACACAAACCATGAAGTTGACCTGCTCATTAAACTACAGCCGACCTCACGGGTTTAATCAAACACAAGCTGTTAATTTGACTTTTCTTTTGCCTATCCCGAGGACTAAAGCATTAAAAAACCACACTTTTATAAAGGGCTATACATGTTGCAATACAAAAAGCACATCTCTTTTAAACTAAACCTTAAGAAATCTATAATTCATAAGCATATTCTGCTTTCCTAACCAGGGATGACATGGTGTGCATTTCTGATATTTAGCCTTGGCTGTATGAGATGTAATAATGGTGATGTTTCTTTAGTTGAAGATGGACTCCAGTGAGAGAAGTCTTTACTCTTGTTCTGATGGAAAACCCTTAAAATAAACAAAAAATAAGACAAGAAAATACATTTTCTAAAGCACTGTAAATTGGAAAGTTTCTTTTTTATTTACAAAAATGATTCCAGCTTGTTACCTGTAAAATAGACCTTCTGTATTAATGTGTCACACATTTTGTTTCACAGTAAGTTTGCATAATACTAAATACTGGAAATACATTTCTATAGAATTTAAAGAAGTTTAAGATAAATAAACTTCTCACTTGGTGAAAAAAATGTATAATTTTTGCAACGAAGCAAACAAGTTTCCAAAGAGGAAAGATAATAATAATAATAAAAAAAAAAGACTGGACTTTGTTTCCAAGTTTGAAGACGTTTCGCTTCCCATCCAAGAGTCTTTTTCAATTCAAAATTACATGTATAGGGTTGAGTTTGGGGTTTTATACAGTAGCCCAACGAAGCCTTGTTTTTGTATTGAAAACATGCAAACATGCTGGGTAAACAGGTCTGTATGAGAGCAAAATGGAGAGCAAAGTTTTCCTCAGCTTTGTTCAGTACCTGTAGCATCAGAGTTATTTTTTCAATTTTAAAACCTCAAGATTTATTTTGCAACACTATTTTTTAGTACTCAATTTTAACTACTAACATGTGACACCTCAGAGTTATATTTGTATAATATAACTCTATTAAGAGCTAAATTAACACTGTCTTTGAAGAAAGTCTACTAACACCATATTTTTTAACACTTGTCAATTGCATGTTTTTTTGGGACTGTGGCCGCTGGTTGCTAACCAACCACTGGGCATAAGTTGACCTTCTAGGAGAGGCATCCCCAACCTCGGTCCTCGAGGGCCGCTGTCCTTCAGTTTTTAAAGGTTTCCTTGCTCCAGCACCAACCCATTAACAGGCTTTTGGTCTACTGCAATCATTATAATCAGCTGTGCTAAAGAAGGGAAACCTCTAAAACCTGCAGGACAGTGGGCCTCGAGGACCGAGGTTCGGGATGCCTGCTCTAGGATACACCCCTCCTCATTTACATAATAAGGCAGAAATGCATAACGACAGGCAGAAATAAAAAGCATTGAAGAAATAAATAGGGTAAAAAAAAAAAAATACAAAGGAAGAATAAACCAGACAAAAATATATAACATGCATGAACAAAAAAATAAATAAAAATACTTAAATAAATAAGTAATAAATACATAAATAAAGATTATAAATAAAGAAGATTTAGGACAATAAATAAGGAAATTATTACAAAGGCAAAAAACAATGAAGACAATTAAAAGAGATATATACATTTATGTCTCACTGTATAATTTTCTGTATTTATTTCTAATTATGGCAGGATTGGTCCTCCATATATTGAGAAACTTTGAGCAACTATGTAACTTCATTGTTAATATATGATTTAATAGCTATCCATTTGTATTTCAAAGATACAATCCATCAGATTTGATTTCCTCAAATAGTAACAGATTTAATCCGTCGTTAATATTTAAATTTCCGTGCGCCATTCCGTATTAATTGATCTTCGGTCTCACGTGCGTCCTTCTGCAGACGCCGCTCAGCGCAGCTCCACGTTTTCCCTCCGCTGTTTAAACTTCCATATCATCCAGACAAAATGGGAAAATTGAACTTTTACCTCCTCTGGTCCCTACGTGACGCTCCCCGACAGTTTATTAGGTATCCATTATGTTTGGTTTTATAAGCCCGCATGATTATTTTCTTCTTTTTACATTTTAACTCTCGAATTGAATGCAGCAAATCCAACCGAAGGTGCTTCCAGGTCCACATCCCGCTGCCTCTTCCCAAACAGCTGCTCATCTTCGGTTTCGGAGAATGGTTGGGAAAAGACGCGGCGTTGTCAGCCGCGGTGGTGGTTGGTGTCCAGACACAGAACATAGGGACTCTGTCCCCGCAGATAAAGTACAATAAAGGTGGTTGAAAGATTAAATTAGTGGTCCCTGTGGAGAAAATGCTCAGCTCTCTTCATTCCTCACAGGTGCTTGACCTGGGAAGGTGAGTGGAGTGATGACATCATCGCCGAGGCTGCAGAGAGAGGCAGGAGAGGAGTTTATGGAAAGATACTGCTGAGGGTCTGTGGAGAGGTAGGACCCCCCTCATCCCTCACTTAAAACATACAGAGGAAAGCTGTGCAAAGATAAATACAGTCTCATTTTAAGATGAAGGTTTTTATTTCACTGACATATACTAAGGCCTGCAACTTTTCAACAACTGTTTATTTATAATTTCTTAAACACAAAACAGAACAGTATTGGTCTCTTATTTTTAATTTTCAATACTTTCAATCTTGTAGCCTTGAACACCGGTTGTGCTTTCTGTTTTTCATGGGACTTCAGCATACAGTGCACCTCGCCACGGTGTCATCATTCCTCACCATGGCCGGTTCTAGACAGGGGCCAACGGGGGCCAGAAATTCTAATGATATGCGCTGGAACAGACAAATTGTTACTGATAGGACCTTTGGAACTACTTCATTCTTTTTCGTTACAAATTCTGTTTTACTAATTATTCAAAAACAATGAGGTGATAGCTTCAGTGGTACTGAGATAGGATCCCAGTTTTCATCTGCTAAATGTTTTTTTTTTTCACAACAAATAAAAAAATCCTCTAATTTTTACAGATGAATTTAAGTTTTCTTGATTTCTAATTCAAATTTTTTAGCAAATTAAGTCAAAAATATTTAAAATTCCTAAATTATAAATGTCTATTGACCTCATAAGAAATATAATTTCTATTGAACCTAAATGTAAAGAAATTTCACTTCATGCAGCTCTCTTAATATATTTTAATCCCTTGCCCTGTTTTTTATGTCATGCTTTTCTGTGGCCCCCTGTTAAATTTGGTCTAGATCCGGCACTGCTCCTCACCTTCACTAGATGTGGATATACTTTAGTATATTCTGCTGTGAAATTAGTCTGATATTTTCGTTTTTTACTCGAGGATTCAACCTCTGCCGTTTCACAGGATGCACAGCTTTGAGTGGTAACTAGGTGACTGCCAGAGAGTAACCCATTAAAAAAACACCACCTCGCAGAGTGTAAAATCCTGGATAATTTATCCGACTCGCGGGCATCCGTGAACAACTATCTACATCAGGGAGACTCCCGGAACTTCTGGGAGACTTGGGATGTCTGAATATGCAAAAGTAAATATTAATAAGGTTGGTAGCAGAGGCTTAGCCAGAAAAAAATATTAAGGGTGGCCAGGCAATAACCAATGTACACTGAGGGTTTGCCGAAAGTAGATGGGCACCAGAACCTCACAGTCAATCTACACTGTTCCAACAGGAAAATAATTGAGCAAAATATCCATATTTTCTAAATAAAGACAATCTATACTTTTTCCAACAGCCTTTGCTAACAAATAGATGCATATATTTAAACATCCGTGTTTTCTAGATAAAAGGTATAGTGGATAAAATTCTTTCAGGTTTGAGGTCTTTTCCATTGTCATCACTTACCTACTTTATCAATAATCATTCTGCATAAAATTGATATTTACAAGTACTAATATCTACATAAATTGATCATCTAATTTTTTGTTAAAATAGTTATTTATGATGTCACTGAAGACTCCTAGATGACCTGCAAAGACACATCATTTCTCTTTACCCCATAAAACACAAAATCTATTTCTGCTTGAATTCTGTACTTATATAATGTTGGTATATTGATGTGCATAATAAACCACATTTTTTTTGTTAAGTAATTGTTAAAATATGAAAAATGTAAAGGTTTTGAAAATTCCACTTGAGAGTATTACTGTTGCCACCATCTGTATTAGAGATAAATAAATGGTAGGGGTGGCCATAGAGATGCCAATGATTGGCTAAGGGTCACCATGGCCACCCCTGGCCCCCCATCTAGCTTCGCCTCTGCTTGGTAGTAGGGCTGACTTATTTTAAAATGATTGGGGTTACTGTTTAGACTTGGGCTTTAGGTAAACAAAAACTAATCAATAATTATTGACATGGCTGATATGAAAGGCTTATATCATGAAATCAAATTCCTTGTTTGTGCTGTCAATCTTGACCAATAAAACATTTTATTTATTCTGTAACGCATAATAGTGAAGCTGTAAAGCTGGTTTTAAAAGAAAAAAGCGGTCTCAAACTGTTTTAACTGAAGCAATATCCTTGACCTTAAATAGCCAGAATGAAGGCATTTTAGTTCTTTTTTTAATTGATAAAGGCTGCCAATTCTTTAACAAACAAAAAAAGGAAAATATTTAACCAAAAGCAAAATGTTAACACAATCCGGCTTTTAGAAAACAAAATGAGAACTGGTAGTTTGATATTATGCATTGCTAATTCTGTTTTTGTCCCAGGATGACCTCAGTGTTCTTAGCAGCACCCCTATGGCTCAGAGGAAATGCCTTATGTCAGGACATCACAGTACGACTGAGCTCTCCAGCACTTTACCGGAAATTGCTGAAAATGAAACGGTGAGACAAGTAGGGTTTTATCTTTGTTTTTAAATCCACAACTCTTGATCTCATCCAAATCTTTGCAGATAATCTCAGAGACTTCACATGTAAGTAACAGTGTTTGCTATTCTGAGATCCAAGTGAATCAAGTTGACACCAGTGAACCTCGCCACCCTGCAGCTTGGCCTACGGTGAGCTTGTTGGCATTATTACTGTTAATGGTTAAATAAAACTAATGTGTTCCTTGCAACTGATAGGATAAGACACCCAGGCGTAAGGTCAGTAGTCAGAGAGCCTGCCTGACCTGGTGCTCAGAGGATATGAACAGTCTCATAGAGGATACGGACAAAGCTTCCACCCCCAAGAAAAGGAAACTGTTCAGGATGCACATCCCGGAGGAAATAACTGCACAGATTAAAAATGAAAGCAGGGAAGGTCGGTATAACAAACCTTAGTGGCCTCTGAAAACACATCTATGTCCCCAGAAACTGTGTTCACGCCGGCCGTGATTAGTTTCAGCACGTCCATCAAAGCGTTGGAGCCACGCCATGTGTTTGAGTGACCCAGATACGGCTGTCCTCATCGGAGGAGAAACATCGGATCAGAACTACTGCAAGGACTCCTTGTGGAAGTTTGAGTTGGGTCAGTGACAACCACCAGAGGAATGAATAAATAAAAGCAAATGTAATGATATAAACCTTAGTTAAATCACATGCTGCTGTTATTTTGCATGCCTCTGATGTTGCTATGTTCAAATATTCATTACTGTTAAATGTCCATAGCTGTATATTGGTTATTTATTCTCCAGATGCACAGTTTTTATATTGTTAAAACTCTTTACAGTACAGTATTTTATTTTTTATCTTTAACTCTTCACTATTATGTTATTCTTATACATTTTTCTAAGGTCCACATTTGTGTGACCATTTCTTTCTATAATTTTTTTTGCCTCTGTAAACAACAGAATTTC